TTGTTCTTAAGATGTCTGCGCATTTTAATTTTTAATGTACAATTCACATGAAACACATCGATGAGGGCATGAGGCGTATGAATATATTTTTTTTAATGTATATATACGATACTCTTCTTGAAATCAGAAACAATAGTTTTGTCAATACCAAGTAGTACAGAGCGGTGAGTAAGTTATAATGTGCTTTATGGTTAAAATAAATCAAACTGGGTTTATGTGATTCCTTAATGTTTGCCCTTTGCCTTTACCTGTGTTGTCTGTTCTTTTTGTTTGTCTTAAATATATATATATTCATGGTTCAGTGCTTAAGTACTAATTAAATGGTGTGCATTAATTCTGCCTTCACTTTATTCTCACACTCACAAGTTGAGTCCGGGAACATTCAGTTTAATCGCATGACGCTGCTTAGCTTGCTTTTAAAAACATAGATGAATTTGAATTATATGTGGCCTTTCCATATTATCAGCCAAATTATAACGTTAGAATAATTGTAGACACGTAGGAGCTAACGGACGATGTTGTTAAGAAAATAGGAAGATACAACGGATAGGATTTTTTCGATAAGGACGTATATGATGTACTCTACGCTATAACTGTACAATGCGTTGTTCTATTTTATTCATGAACAATTTATGCAGGAAATAATGTTCTGCTTGTACAACATTTCTCTTGTAGAATCATGTTAAAAGCATATGTATTTGAAGTTCGGGTTCATAGGTTCATGAGCTCAGGGATGAAGGTTCAGTGTATTAAGGTTTAAGTTGCACTGTTCAGCGTGGTACGGTTCACGGTTCCATGCTTAGTGCTGATGGTTATTGAATTGCCAGGTTCATGTTTTTACCGTTGCAGTGGCACAAGTATTGTATTGACTTTTACATGCCTGGAGGAATTTCAAATTATATGAAAAGCATGTACATGCATGAACAGATATGTATATGTATGTACGTGGAAACAGAAAAGGGCGGTCATCTCTTAACATTTATAATTATAGAACAATTTGCGTATCTTTTCAGCATCCACGTCCCTGAAGGATATTTAAAGAACGCATGTTTGTACAGAAGTTGCTGCTCTTTATGCTTTAGTACATGTATGTGTGCACTGACAAGGATGCATATATATGGATGAGCACAATCAACACCAAATTGTTCTTAGCTAGTGTTCTGCATGGAACATTTCCCTGTACAGGCAAAAGTAGTATTTTGCGGAATGGTTTTCACTGGACTCAAGCACTCGGGGGGGGGTTGTGCCTCTGTAGAATATGCTAATGGCCTTGGAAGGGGCGAATTGCATCCTTCATTTATGCCTTTCCCTCTATAGTACACTATGGTCGTTAGTTGGTATATTGGAAAATTGCGCATGTATCAGTAACCAACTAGACGAACTTGATACCTGCAACTCGACACGGCCGCCACAAGCTTTCCTGCCGATTTGTACGTTGTTACCCCTTTTTCTACATGACTCCCTCGCCTGTTCTAACTTACACTGTCTCCTAAATTACGCTGTCGTGGGTCTCATATGCATAAATCCACGTTCTAGGTATTCCATAACTTCGTACAGTGCACTGTCCACTCATGGTTGTCGCCGCTGCCGCTACCGCTGCATCCATCGTGGCCGCTACCGATGCCGTCGTGGCGGCCGCCGCACACACACACCTCATGTACACTACCGCTCCGCTGTACGGTGCGCTCGCCGCTAATCCACGTTACGCTACCGCTATCGCCGTCGTGGCAACCGCTACCACTACCGTCGTGGCTGCTGTGCTGTTGCGCGTCCTGTGCGTGTTGTTGCGGCATCCATGCGTTGTTGTGGTGGTGGCATCTATATCGGTACCGTACGGACCGGGCCGTGTGATCCCGTGTGCGACCGTATTAGTGCTTTCTCCCCGTCGATCTTACCTGCCTGTTCCTGTGGTGGTGGTGTGGTCCCCTCCTGGGTGGTGGCAGCCTCCGCGTTTGTGCCATCGTTCGCTGCAATAAAGGGAGAAATAGGAATTACAAGGGTTAGTATGTACGTTTTGTGTTCTTGCAAGGACACAGCAAGGAACGTTGTTCACACATCTCCATCGTGTTTCGCATTGCTCTTGCCCTTTTACTTCGAAACGGTCTGTAGTTGTCGTGTGTGTGCTCATCCCTCCTGCGTCGTTCTAATTTGTTTCCTTCTGCCCCAAGTGCCCTGCCTTACCTAACTTCCCCTTCTTCTCCTGCTTCCTTTTTTCTATGCTGTCCGCTGCCTGTTTCCCGATTTCCGTAAATAGTTTTATCATTCCTGCCTTCAAGTCCTCTACTATCGGAGCAATCTGCAACCCTGAGGTATCCTCCGTCTTCCCGTTCCCTATCATCTCCTGTAGGTTCCATGTGTCCTTCCACAGCGTGCTGCACAGTGCACCGCCTTTTAATTTCTGTATTGCCTCTTTTAGTGTACTATTCTGCCCTAACCATTTCTTTACTTCCGCATTTAACTCAAGGTCCCTTATTTGCAAATGCGCAACTTTTTCTCTACCACATCTCCCGTTCTTTATTAAACCTGGCGGAAAACTGTCCGTCCCAGTGTCCATTCCTTCCATCTGTCTCCATGCATAGGATGTGCCCCGCCTTGCTGGACACACGGATTCGTTTAATACGGCGCTGAACATATGCGCTATTATACATCGTAAGTGCTCCGTTATTCTTGCACTGGTGTCATCCTCCTGTTCGCTAACCGGTTTTGCACCACTCCACCCATTCATGAAAAATAAGGCCCCTACCATCAGTACGCATACAATTTTATCCCCCACCGTCTGTCCAAGATAGATGTCAGGGGCGCTAGGAAAGTCGGGGTGGTCCCATCCTGTGTTACCACAGTTCGCTGCATACAGTAGTATATCGTCGCGCTGCATGTAGTGCACAAATTCTGCCATGACCTCTTTAGTCTTTGCCCATACCATGTCCTACAATGTAAGAGAAACACAGGACATATATTCACGCGCATGTGTGCTTTAATGCTATTTGCCCCGTGCGATTCATTCTGTGTTGCATCAATAAAGGCCTAGCACGGAACTCCCCCGTTGTGCTCTTCTATTCCTGTATGCTCCTACCTCATACTCGTGCTGATCGGAAATTCCCGCTTCCCGTACCCATTGGGCCAACAGCTGGGCTAGGTTCGCTGCTGACATAATAGTATTATTGTATTAGTATTCTCTACTCGGTCCAGTTCCTTGGAAATATTATTATGCTACATATATCCCATGTAAACCCATGTAACATGGTCTTCCGTATTATGCTAATATTGTGCTAAATAATTATTCTTCCTGTATGTCTACAACAATATTTACGTGAACTGCTGGTATCATAGGTACTTGTACTCAGTATAGTGCTGCCGTACACTATTTATAGTTGCGCTAAGGCAGAACTATATGCAAAAAAAAAGAAAAAATAAAAGCATAGTATAAGAAAAAGAGAAAGAAAAAAAAAAAAACGAAGAAAGAGGGAAAAAAAAGTACGACTACACTACCGTTCACACACAACGCGTCATGAATACACACCCCCTCCGCCCTTTCTACACCGGTCTCCACTAAACGCCGTCACACACACTGTCTCTGCGTACACCTAAAAACCGCAGTAAAAACAACATCAATTGTTCTGCCGCCGTGGTCGCCGTGCCTCCCGCGGCTACTTCCTCGAATCGTTTACTCGAACGCCGTAATCGAACCGCTTCACTCGGCTACTTCGTCGAATCGTTGTTACACTTGGCCGCGTTGGTCGACGCGTTTGCTCGGAGAGACAATCTGTCCTCCTTCTTACACGCGCGCACAATGTTTACGAGGACGAGGCAACGACGGAAGAAGAATGGATGTTGTTATACTGGGGTTTTAGGTGTACGCACACAGAGACAGTGTGTGTGAAGGCGTTTAGTGGACACCGGTGTAGAAAGGGGGGCGGGGGTATTCATGACGCGTGTTGTAACTTTCCTATATTTTCATTCTTGTAGGATTTATTCTTTTTTTTCTCTTTTTTTTTTTTTGATTGTTACTATTTCTTATTAGTTTTTGCCTTTCCTTTATTGCTTTGTTCTCTATTTTCAATATATTGGGTTTTTTTATGTTCTTGTTTTGTCGTGTTACCCAATCTTTCATGAAACATACAGGGCCTCTACAGCGTGGAGTTGACGCATATGTTTTATTAATGTGGACACAGCCACTACTGTGACGAGCCAAGGGCAGTTGTGCAACAATATAACACCCATGAGGCAGTGCCATATGTGCAACAACACTTGAATACACAGTTAAAGTAATAGAAGCAAGATGGAGGAGACATTACGGCAGCTATTGGTGGATTATATTAACAAGAGGAACATGCTGGGACAGGAGCAAACATATGAGGTAATTATAATGCGGACGCAAGACGAATACAAAAGAGAGAGGCAAATGGACAGATAAAACAAACGAAGGGATTTTATGACAAATGTGAATTGATGTGTTATGGAGGGAAGATATTAAACAGTGTGGAAGCGGAAGGAGCACACTGTTATGCATATCATTTTATTCGATTATAGACAGGAATATGGCATGACATACAGCAATTGTTCGATGAGTTCACAAAGACGATACAAAATCAGGATGCCGATGGTGCTACGGCCATATGTGACGCGGGCAAAGAAGAGAAAAAAATACAAGAAAGGGAGATGCATATGTGCCGGATGGTAGTGAGAATATTACTATACATGAGCCATGGTGAAACCCACGACGAGATGGAACAGAGGGCAGATGAACACGACAAAGAGTTAAAAGCATGTATTAGAACTATAATCGGAACTGTAACTATACAGCATTTATTGAAAAGATATTGCAAAGCCGATGAGGTCCTGCGGAATGCTGTAGGCATGGTCAAAATAATGGACACGATGATGCCAAGTGGGGTGGTGAATAATACAGGGTGCAAGGGCTTGCAAGTGCAAGGATTAGTAATAGGTGGAAAGGATGTGACCAGTACAATAGGACAATGGATATTGCAGCGCAACATTCTGGACGGGGACCCAGGGCAGGTGGATTGGAATGCCGGCTGCGGGGACGCGAAAAGTAAGAGGAAAGATGTGACCAGCATAGAAACATTGCAGGAACTCAAGACTATAGTGGTAGAGCAAGCGAAGGAACTGCAGGATAAGGCCGAGGAGATTAGGGAACGTATTCAGAAGGAAACGAATGGTGCGCCAGACACGAACGCAGCAACCAAAGCAACACCACAGGGATCGGCAGGTAAGGACCGATGGGGAGAAAGCACCAATACGGCCCGCACACGAATACGACCCGTACGCATATGGATGCCGCCACGGCAACAACACGCACGCGGCGGCCACGACGGC